TAACAAACCCAGGTTTATGCATCTTTTCTTTACAGTCAGAACTTCTTTAAGAAATGTTTGCCCACCATAAAGACATGAATGAAGGCAAGCTTCTCCAGCATCTTCTAGAGTACTGTGTCCTCTTTTGCAAGCAGGGCTGTGGCCCAGCTGCACGTGTTGTATGCACGGAGTGGGCTGAAGTCTGCAAAGGATCCTTTTTTCTTTCAATTCAAACATTCAAGTGACCCAGTGCCAAGCCCTGAATGAGTCACCAGCGTCCACTGCGGGGCTGTCCACCTGGACCACACGTCCAGTTGCCACGGTGTGTGGGTCTGCATGTTGAATCTGTCCCTGGGCACTGTTGCTATCTGCCTAGCCTTGTGCAAACACCACCCTGTGTTCATTTCTGTGTTTTAAATCATGTTCCAATACCTGACAGTATAAACTCTCCTCTTTGGTTCTTCTTCAAAATTGTCTTCACTACTTTGAGTCTTACATTTCCATATCCATTTTAGAGTCAGCTGGATGATTTAAACACACATGTGTGCACATGCTTAAAACCTGTTGGAATTTTACTTGGATTGCACTGAATCTACAGGCTCATGTGGCGAGAACTGGCATCTCTGTGAACAGGTGGCGCGTCGTCCACTATTTAGATCTTCTGTAATCTCTCCCAGGGATGCTTTGTAGTTTCAGTGTAGTGGCCTTGAGCAACTCTCCATAGATTTCTTCCTGGTCTTGAAGCTATTATAAATGGTACTGCTTCTTTTTTTTTTTAATTTCTTATAGCATAACTGTGTACATTAATGCAATCATGGGGTACAGTGTGCTGTTTTCATGTACATTTTGAAATACTCTCATCAAACTAGTCAAGATAACCTTCATGTCATTTTCTTAGTTGAGTTAAAAAGTTCATACTCTGCTTTTAGAAAGATTCACTTGTACTCTTGTAAGATAAACCACAGAGGTGACCCCACCAATCTCCCTCCCTCCCCCCATCCACCTCCCTCACCTCACCCTCCCACCCCCTTCCCATATTCTAAGGCTATAATTAGGTTATGACATTCCTATAGGTCATGGAAGAAACCCAAATGCCCATCGACCCACAAATGGATCAATAAATTGTGTTACATGTACACCATGGAATACTATGCAGTCCTAAAGAAGGATAGAGACTTTACCTCCTTCATGTTTATATGGATGGAATTGGAAAATGTTCTTCTTAGCAAAGTATCTCAAGAATGGAAGAAAAAGTATCCAATGTACACAGCCCTATTTTGAAATTAATGGTACTGCTACTTAAATTTCGTTTCCAAATTGCCTTTTGCTGGCATGCACAATGTCTTCTCATGCTGATCTGGATCCAGCAGTCATGCCAAAGTCATTTACTAATTCTAACAGCACATCACAGATGCATTCTGATTCCCATGTACACAATCACACTGTCTATGACTGTAGTTTGTTTTCTATTCCATCCGTATTCCTTTATTTTTTTCATGACTTGTTGCATTGGATGAGACTCCCAGTACAGTGGGAATAGAAGCAATAGTACTAGACATATGTGTTTTGTCCTTAATCTTGGAGGGAAAGATTTTAGTATTGCCCCAGTAAGTGTGATGTTAACCCTGAGCTTTTTAAAGATGCCTGTGAGCAGACTGAAGATATTCTTATCTATTCCTAGTTTGCCAAGAGCCTCCTTAAATTGGTGCTAAACATTATCAAATGCTTTTCTGTATCTATTAAGATGACTGTGTAGATCTTCTCACTCATTCTGTTAAAGTCGTGAATGATACTGATTGTTTCTGAATGCAAACTAACCTTGCATACCTAGGATAAGCCCTACTGTATAAATACAGAGCTTCCTTTTTATGTATTTCTAGATTTAATTTGTGAGCTTTCTGGTTAGGATTTTTGCCTCTACATCATGAGGGAGACTGACATGCTTTTTCCTTCTGTGATATCCCCATCAGAATCTGGAACCCAAGTATGAACAGCAGGAAGGGCAGCAGGGTGGGCTTCCTCTTCTTATATTCTCTGTAATAGTTCATGTGAATTGGTGTCATTTACTCCTCAAATTTTTAGAAGAATTCACCAGTAGAGTCACCTAGGTCTGGAGTTTTCCTTGAGAGATGTTTACTTATTATGGATTGATGTCTTTAATACTGAACTTTCCAGACTCTCTGTACATCTTGCTAAGTTATCATTTTCTAAAGAAAATTATATTTCATCTGAGTTGTCAAATATGCTGGCATAAAATTATTCATAATATCTTTGTATTACTTCAAAAATATCTGTAGGATCTGTGATAATATGTCTATTTTCATTCCTGAAACTGGCAATTTGTATTTTCTTTCTACATTTTGATTAATCTTGTAGGAATTAATAATTTTATTAAGCCTTCTAAAGAACCAACTCTTTTGGCTTCAATAACTTATGTACTGCATTTTTTTTTTGCTGTATATATTTTTAATATTTCATTAACTCCTCCTGTCTTAAGAACTGCCTACATAATACCTCCTCGGCCTTCCTTAGATGCGCATTCTGTCCCTTCTCTGATGATACTGGGACATTACCATGCTTTAACGGCACTAGCCTCCTCCCCATCTTTTCTGCTGTGGCTATCAGCAGCCCATCTGTCCCACATCTGAGACCCACAGTCCTCACATTATTCAAGAGTCAACACTGACGCCGCTCTGTTCAGGATTCCACACTCCTTCCTCTGTCACTGTGCTTCCATCAGGATCACTCCCCTTTTCCACCTTGCAAGCATCCTGCTGATGATGATTTCTCTCACTTTCTGTTTCTGACAAATACTTTCACCAGATGTGGAACTGGAGGCAGGCAGCTATTTTCACTGGGCACACTGAAGTTGTGCTCCCATTGCTCGAAAGTTCCTCTTCTTCTCTGGAGAAAATCAGCTGGCCATCTTGCTGTCTCTTTTAAAACAGTCTCATTTTTTTCCTCTGGCTTTAATGTACTTTTAAGATTTTTTTTCTGGTTTTAATCTGCTTTTAACATTTAGTTTTTATCTTTTGTTTTCCACTTTTTATTATGCTATGGCAAAGGGTGACTTTTTTTAAAAGATGGTAAATTTATCCTACTATCATATAGCTTCTGGAATCTATGGTCTACAGTACCTAAATGATTTTGGAAAATTCTCAACCATTACTTCTTCCAATATCATTTCTGTCCATTTTCTCTCCCTCCTGTTGACGTATAACTCCAACTGTACTCTTCCGTAGATTTCCTGTATTTTTTTCCTCTATGTTCCAATATAAGTGTTCTCTTAAACTCTGCCTTCTACTTCACTAATCCTTCTGCTTTGTCTAACTTGAGATTTAGCCAACCTATTACAATCTTAGTTTCAGTTACAATACCATTAAGTACTAGAGTCCCCATTTTTATTATTTTCATAAAAGGTAAGTTCTTTGGTAAAAGTTTCTGCCATTTCACCTACCTGTATTTTCTTTGACACATTAATAATGTAAGTGGAATATTCCTTATCTGGAACACTTGTGACCAAAAATGTTTCAGATTTTAGAATTTTTTCAGATTGTGGAATATTTGCATTCTATTATATTTACTCAATAAGCATCTCTAATCCAAACCTCTGGAAACCACAATGCTGCAGTGAGCGTTTCCTTTTAGCATCATGTTGGTGCCTAAAAGGTGTCAGATTTTGGAGCATTTCAGAGGTGGGGATGTCAGGATAGGACTCCTCAACCTGTAGTTATTTTAAGGTACATATCCAATTTTTCCAGTATCTGTGTCATCTATAGATCAGTTTCTACTTAATATTTTTACTTACATTTAATAATTTAATACTGTTATCTGTTATGCCTAGCAATATTAAAGTTCATTAGCAATTTTAGTTTAAATTCATTAGTATGAAATATTAGAGATTTGAGACATTGAAATCATCTTCCAGAAGAGATTTAACTGTCTTTGGGGAAACAGAAATAAGCATGATTCAAGGCTGTGTTTTAGTTTTTGTTACGGCTGTTCTATTTTTGGTTTACATGGTCATTTCAAAAGTTTTGAGATACATAAAAATCCAAAAACACAAAATTGGTACGAACAGAAACAACTGAAGTCCCCCCAGCAAACTACTAAGCCAGGCCAGCTGAAACGTACGTGAATGAGTCAGAAAGGTACTGTCAACTATGTTTCTTTGTAGTGAAATAATGGACCATAACATGGTCTGTCTCAAAACTTTCATAGTGACCCAAGTACCTTAATCCTTTAGGTTCTCAACAGCAATCTGCAGTGTTTACAAGAATTCCTCCTCCTGAGTGGGACTTAAACTCCAACTTTTGCCTCTTTATTACTCTGAGAGTGCCTCAATTTCTCTTTAACTTTTCTTGTAAACTGCTTTGCTTGATTACAAGACTCCCACAACACACATGCACTACTGACAACCAGTCCTCTTTCCCTGGGATTTTGATTCCTAAGAGCCCTGAACTCTAACTTTTCTCTCCCCAGCCTGTGAAGACTGCTAATGCTCCAGCCACCCTCTCTGTTCAATCTCAAGAAGCTGCAACACAAACTGGCAGGCGCCCAGCCGTCAGAAAGGACATGAAGCAGATACAGACTACTGTGGACGCTCACCTCTTATGTCCTGGCTCCCCAGTGGCTCACTGACACCTCCACCCTGTCAGATCTGTGTGTGTCTGTGCTTGTCTCCCCATGTTCATGTGTCTGTGTGTCCTTCTCAATGTGTGCACGTGGATGAAACGCAGGCCTCACAGCCATCAGCAGCAGGGCTGCTCTCCCACCAGTCAGTCCGGTACAGCACGTGGGACTGTCAATGGTCACTATCTAGGAGCTTGCCCTGTGTCAGGCACTGTGCCAGAGGCCAAAGGTCAAAATACCAACGTTTTGAGGCTACTCATTAAGACAGATCCCTCAAACGAGGTCACTGCCCAAGGTCCCTCCTGCACCCCTACCCCTAAAACACAAGTGGCACTGGGTTCCACACTGCCCCCAACACCCACTGACCATGGTAAGTACTTGGTACCCACCTGTTTGCTGCCCCTCTGTGCCATGGGAAGCAGTGCTCTGGACTTTTCTGCAATTTTCTGTTGGAAAAGGACAAGAGGAGGAAGATAGGAAGAACGAAAAGAGAAGGTCAGATAAACACAAATTGTTAGACAATGACTCCGCAAAATATACCTCCCACTCTCTGAGAGAATGGAGCTGTCCTGGGCACTGGGCTGGGCTCTGCCAGCGATTCCTAGATGAGCTCTGCCCATGCGTGTGAGCTCACTAGGCCTCAGCTTCCTCTCCTGTCCTGCAGGATGAGACCTATGCTTCCTACTTCTCAGGAGGCTGCTGTGAGGTCACCTCTGGGGCAGCACCTCAAAGTTCCTATATTTTCATCTATAATGAGCTTCCTCATATACTGCACCCCTGTTTTTTTGCCCCAAACTTTTGGGGAAAAAATTTCATTTTGATTTTTTAATTTATATTTAGGTACTTGTTTTTTGCATTGTAAAGGAATTTTAGCATTTATTTTTGAGATATTATGGTACAAGAAATTTTATGTAACAGATAACTACAAAACACAAGAATAGATACAAGGTATAAGAAATTTTATGTACTGCTAACAAATTTACAGTATGTGTACATCATAGAAGGCCAAGAGCTCTTCACCATTGCCAATATCAGAAGTTACCATCTTACTAATTTCTACATTACCAATGTCTACTCAAGAGTCACTTTCCTCCTCCTCCCAGCAAATTTTATCAACTTTTGTTCTATCCATAGTATTGCTGATACCACATTTTTTAAATGATTTCACAACCACCTCCTTCTTGGCATGGTTCCACGATCTTAGGATCCAGTCACAAACCTGGGTGACTGATGCTTCCTTGATTCTGCCCGTCAGTGTTCAGTCAGCACAGGCTGACGGTACCCACAGCATCCACTCTTTCCTCATTATGGCCTTAAAGCCCTTGTTTACTGACACATCAGGAGGCTGCAGTTGGCTGCATAGCCCACCAGGTATCACAGCAAGTTGGGTTTTCAAGTCCACTGTGATTGCTTTTATATCTTGTAATATGGACTTTGAAATGATCAAAAACAAGCCAAGTTCATTTTCTTAGTGATCCTCCAGGCATTTGTGACCAGACTTTGTTAAACCAGATTTTCATGCCTTCTTTATTCACCCATCCTTTTTCAGGCACATGGACAATAACTCCACCTGGTATCTTTTCCTTTGGAACATTTTTCTTTCATGGATGATCATAGGCAGTAGCTTTGTCCCAGCTACACACAAACTAGAACAACAATGAAATGTGTTTTTTCATGTCCACTAGTTGTCCTTGTTTTGTTTTGTTTTTGAGACAGAATCTCACTATGTTTCCCTGGGTAGAGTGCTGTGGCATCACAGCTCATAGTCAACCTCAAACTCTTAGGCTTAAGCGATTCTCTTGCCTTGGCCTCCCAAGTAGCTAGGACTACAGGCACCCGTGGCCCAGGCGGTTTCAAACCACCAGCCTCGATGTATGTGGCTGGTGTGGTAACCACTGTGCTATGGGTGCTGAGCCTCATGTCTACTAATTTTAACAGTCATGGTCTTTGGTGCTTTGATGCTCATGGTACTGTTGGGCGGCACATCAAATGTGAGGGGGAGCTCATCCATTCTAGTTATTCGAGACAGCCCAAAGTTGTAAGTCTTCTGAAGACTGATAACATATGAATGAAATTCCAATACTTGATTCTCATAGGCTGCTGGAATTTGGGGGCAAGTTTTGTTCCTGTCCTCACACTCAGAACTTCTCTTCATATAGTTAAAGCACCACCTCGGTGTCCCTGAGGAATCACCAGTGTTTTCTCGTGCAATCCTTTTGCCCTCCTCTTGTATTGTCTTGGTGGAAACAGAGATCCCACTTTCACGCTGCTCCAGAATCCAGGCCTTCACCTCCTGCTCCACCTGCGGCCACTTTGGAGGTTCCCTTGCATGACCTTCCTCTGTCTTGGCATCTGCAGAAGCTGCTCTTCCTGCTGCCTCCACAGTCTGGGACACTCTCTGTGGGGGGAGGTCCACAGTGTGTCTCAGCAGCTCTGTTTCCAGGCTCTTTAGCACATTTAATCACTGGTAGCTTGAAGCTTGCACTGTATGAAAACCGTTCCCACGTTTTACAAGGGATTTTCCAATACTTTTTGCAAAAACATCAGCTAGCTTCTGCCTAAAGTGTACAAAGAGAAGTCACTCTTTGTTGGCTAAAAATGCTTTTGTTGCAAGTTTGTCAAAAGTTCAACAAAACCTATCACTATTCCAGGGTATTATTTTATATACAAGTATCATTATTGCTTTCTAGAGTAATACTGTTAATGCATACACATAAATGAAAGAATTAAAAACATTTACATAGATGCAAAATTAGTACTACCCATGTGTAATATGCATCTTTATTTTTCCCTCAAATATTTGGGGGGGAAATGCACATTATATGTGGCAAAATACAGTAAATACCTTTTAGGAGACGTTCACTGAGATACACCACCAGACCCTGGCTACCTGCAGAGTGCCTGCAAGGACAGCCCCTTCCTGTGCCTTGGGGGACAAGACTGCACCAGGCCAACCCAGGGACAAGCCAGCCAGTGTTGGTGCTCTAAAGATCTAGGCCCACAGCCCCCACCCGGCGCCTCACCTTCTGCACCACTCCATAGCGTTGAAGAGCATCCGCCAGCTGCCTTTTCAGCTGGTCCAGCTGCAGGCGATCCTGGACAGACAGAAGCATGTGTCACAGGAGGCAGTACTGCTACCTCACCCCACCAGCACCCCCAGCCCAGGGGGGCTTCAATTTCCTATATTCCTTTGTTTCTTCCATTCTCCTGGCAGGGCCCCCATAACCCCTACTCTCCCCTTCACCATCGCCACATCCTCTTTCCCTCAGAATTGGGCCCATCATCATCTGCTTTACCCCCAGTGACACCTGTATCTCCACAGGCACAGCCAGTGTCCCAGTGGACACCATCACCACTAAATTCCAAGTCACATCAACACAGCCCATGGAAGCCAGGAGCTGCTCCAGTCACAGCATTTGGCCCCAGGACTCCCTGGCTCAGTAGGAAGTGCCGTGACCCCACTACACTGCATAGGAGACCATGACCCCGAGACCTGAGCAGCACGTTCAAGGTCAGTGGGAGGGAAGGCTATATCTCATCAGCACTATCAGAATGACGTCCCATCAGTAGTGCTCTGCCCTGCACCCTGATTACAACCTCGCCACCCCCTCCTTCTTCAGGACCCACACATGGCCTCTCAGGCCACAGACAAGTGGCCCCTGCCTGGGCTTCTGTGTAGGTCTAGCCTAAACCCATCCCATGGACCCTGTGTTCACCTTCCTCAAGCCCTGCCACCCAAGCCCACACAGAGGAGGGATCAGGATCCCTCTGAACATCCTCGGCAGCAGATCTGTGGAGCCTGTATCAGTGTCCAGTGAGGCTCCTATCACTGGCCCCATGTGTGCCCCAGGATGGAGCCAGGGGCCCAGGTGGAGGTTCCATTCTCTGTGGGAACACATCTCCAGCCTGTCATCTCTCCACGTCTCTGCATGACTAGCACATTCTTCATTCCCAGAGGCAGTCACGTGCTGTCTGCCCCTCTAAACAGACTGTCCTGACTTCCTGGGGCCAGGCCAGGCCAGAAGAGGAGGGACAGAGCCAGCCAGGTGTGAACCTGGATATGCTGCCCTGAGGACAAGAGATGCCCACAGCCCTGTGCCAGAAGCAGCAGCCCGGAGTATCACCTATCCAGCTCCAACAGCTCTCACTCAACAACACAGAGGCTGCACCAGCTGGGACTGCCCCACTGTCTCCTAGAGTCCAGCAGGATGAGGGGAGCACCCCTAACTTGCACCGAGAGTCACCCAAGGTGGGGACCATATCACAAACACTTGCCGAGCAACAAAAGGGCACTGGCCCTTCCTCCATCCCCAGACACCCACTATCCCCAGCCCTAAGGGATCTGCACCCTCTACCCTTCACTCTGCCACCCTTACCACTGGCCACTAGGTCATGTGTCCGCTACACTGCTGGCTGGGTTTCCAACTGGCTTGAAGCTCCCCCCCGACCCCCGCAAAATGTCCTCCCATCCTCCAGAAGGCCACACACATCTAGCAAGTCTAACTCTGCCACAAGCCCCCAAGGCACAGACGCTATTTAGTTGGTAGTGTGTCCTGTCACAAGGGGACCTGGAGGGAGGGACCCATCTTATCTGCACCCTCAGTGCACCTTGCAGAGCAAGTGCTCAGTAAGTGTCAGCTGCTTCTCCAGTAGGCGGCAGTGAGTGGGGAAGGCAGGATCCAGGGGCTCAGGTTCCTGATATCATGGCCCTTGAGGCCCAAACTACGGCGGAAGCACAGACTCTGCTCCCACAAACACCAGAGTTCGGACCCAGCCAGGCTCCTTCCAGACTCCAATGCCAGGAGCCTCTCCCCACAGAAACGCCTTTCAGAACCATGGCTTGTCACAGTCTGGGACCTCACACAGTTCCACAGACAAGAGGGACCTAATAAATATCTTTGGGTGGATGAACAAATGAATGAAAAAATGAAGGTTGAATGAGTCAAAGAGCAAAGTTAAAAAGGAATGGGCCAGACACAGACATCCAAGGCAGCCAAACCCCTGCAGACGCTGGGCATAACGCTGCCCGAGTGCCACCGGGACACATCCCATCAGAGAGCAGGTTGGAGAGTACCAGCTACTGCTGCAGGTCACAGCTGTGGCAGCCGTGTCACGCACAGAGCAGTGCAGACCTTGTGGAGTGAAGACCCCACTGCCTCCCAGTCCAAGACCTTGGAATCCTCCACCCTCCCATCCCCAGACAATTGGCTGCTGCCTCTATGATGTTTCTATGTGACTGACTTTTGAAACAGATTCTAGTTTTTTGAATAACAGTTTATCAAAATATAATTTAGAGACCATAACCCCCCCCATGTGAAGTGTACAGTTCCAGAATCTCTAGTCACATACAGCATCACTGCAACCCTGTTTTAGAACATTCGCATCACCCTAAAAGGTGCCTGGTGCCAAGCAGCATCCACTCCTCTGCCCTCCCCCAAATATTCATCCACTTTCTGTCTCCCTAGACCTGCACTTCCTGGACACTTCACACAAAGAGCCCCTCTCTGTCTTCTGTCGCTCTTCTGTCGCTGGCTTCTGTCGCTCAGCACCCTGTATTTAAGGTCACCCCACATTGCAGCCTCTTTGCTGCTGAGCACTACCCCCTGCCACAGCCCCCAACGAGGCCAGCAGGCTGCTGTGTGGGCAGGTATTTGGGCTTCACAGGCCAGTCTGCTGCAACCGTCACCTCTGCCACTGTAGCCCCCAAGTAGCTGTAGACAGTATGCAAATGAGTAAGGTGACTGCCAGCTCTGCCTGCCAGCTCCCATCCATAACAGTCTAGGGTCAACGCCCTTTAGTCTCTGTGGTAAACACCATCCACGCCTTGGGGACTGGGCAAGTAGGGATAGGTGACAAGGAGTTCTGACCTAGTACGTGAGGGGGTACCGTAGGGACAGGGAAAGCCCTGGGCTGTGTCAGAAGCAGCAGCCCTGGAGTGTGGTGGGTGTGGTGATGGCTGAGACATGGCAACGTGCCCATGGCTGTAGGACAGGGAGGCACACATGGAGGTGGCTGTAGACAAAAGGCACAGGTGGAGGGGGCAGGAGACAGGCGAGGATGGCAAAACTAATGACAGGGGGATGTCAGTGTCCATTCAGAAAAGCCCAGCCAGGAAAACTCAAGGCACTCTTGTCCCCACACACACCAGACCCAGGAGAGTGGGGCTCCCAGGCAGCCCCACCCAGCAGGTGGTCAGTGAGCATCTGTGGCCTAAACAACTGAGCTGAGCATATCCAGCTCTAACCTGGAAGCCACATCCCAGGCCACCTGTGTGTCAGCCTCCCCATGCCCCACCCCTGCCATATTACCTCCCCACCACAGAAGCAGGGACCCCTTCCATCCCCCTCCCGGCCCCAGACCCCCGGGGAACATACCGGGCAGGCGCCGCGCAGAACCTCTGACATCTGCTTCACAGCACTGGCACTGGCCCCGATGATTCTGTTGGTCTCCTGTTGAGCCATGTGCCTGGGAACCAGAGAAGAAGCCAGGATCAGAGGGGGAGGAAGGAAGCAGACCAAGTGGGGATGCAGGCGGGGGACAGCACAGAGGTGGACAGAGAGGGCTGGGGAGACACGCAGAGACAAGCCGGAGACATGGCAGTGGGAGAGGCAGGAAATCTAGTAAGAAGCAGAAGGAGGCTGGGTACACAGAAAGGTGACAAAGGGACAGGGGAAGAGACACAGCAGTGGAGAAAGAAGAGAAGGAAAACAGAGGGACCCAGAGTCCAGGGCAGGGAGGGACAGCAGAGACAGAGAGAGACAGGTGTAGGAATAGAGGCAGGCGGGCATATGGGTGAAGGAGACACAGAAGAGGTGAGCGTGGCCAGGGCAGACACGGCCGCCCCAAACTCCCACAGACAAGCCCGGAGTTCTGTGGCCCCCACTGGCAGCAGTGCCTACACTGGCAAGCAGACCCACCCAGAAGCCCTCCCTACAGAAAAGCCCCTGAGGTCAACCATACCTCAGGGAGCTAGAGGAGCAGGGTGGCCACAACGAAAGGGCCCAGGGTCCTCGACTACATTGCACTCTTCTGTGGGGTCCTGAGTGAGACCCTTCCCACATGGGCACACCCAGGACATAGGAGACAGGGACAGACCCAGGCTACGGTGCTACATACGACCTCAAAGGCAAGTGAAAAGACCAGCCTATGTTCTCAGGTTCACTGCCCCCTGGGCTCAGTGACACCGGAGGTGAACTCAGCCCCTGCCCTGCTATGGACACACATAATAACCAAGTACAGAAGGAACAGGAAGACTTACAGGAGCAGCCCCAGTGGTCCCTGCAGGCAGCTAATGTGCAGAAGGGTCCTGAAAGACCAAGGCTGCACCTCGCACCCTACGCTCAGGCACGCCCTGCCAGGCATCCACCTCTCCTGCACCTGCTGGGGGTGGGGGGGAGGTGCAAAGGATGTGGCATAGGCAGGATGGGGCACCCCTGTGCCAAAGGGAGGCCAAACATGCTGGCAAGGGCGGGGCCTGGACACGGTGTGCAGTGGGCTGACCATAAAGACAAACGCTGGGCACACCAAAGAGTCACCCACACTCATCCCCATCTCTGGCCTGCCACCTCCGGTGGCTGGTGACCAAGGCCTACAGCTCAGGCCCCCTGCACAGGGGACCTTGTTCCTCCCACCCAGGCCTCAAGTGTCAGAGCCAGGGGCCAAGCACAGACACCACCCCACAACTATTATCCCCACACCAACTACCTCAGTGGCTTCATCTGGCCTTGTGGCCTGAAACCTATCAAGCCACCACCCCAGTCACGTCCCCAGCCAGGCTCCGAGTCCAGACAGGCCCTACTATGGACGTGACAGCTCCACCTAGGAGAGTAGCAGCCCCCGGTCACTGACCAACACTGACCCCCCACAGCCCCCAGGCATCAGGACACTTGCCACGGCCTTTGTAGAAATGAGAGGCTGCCAACCAGAGAACCCAAGAAGGGGTGATGAGGGGTCAAGGGAGGAGAGCCCCGAGCAAGGAAAGGCAGCAGAGCAGGAGGGCAAGTGGCGAGTTCCTACCTCCACCACTGGCATTTTAACACAGGTCCTGACACAGAGACCTCCTTACCAAACCTCTGCCATGAACAGTCAGAAGTTGTGTGAAAACACACAAGAAAACAAAAGCGGGGATGCAGCTGAAGAAAAGAGCAAAGAAGAAACCAATGCCCTAAATGTTCACCTAAAGCAGCTGGCAAGTTGTGTGGAAAACGAGCAGAACAGGTGTGATAGGCAGCTCAGTAATTAACCAAAGGAGCAAGGAGTGGGCAAGAGGGACAACTGACAGAACGCATGTCAGAAAGCATGCTCTGATAACTCAGAAATTCTGCAGAGCTCCACTGAGACACACCAAGAGGAAGAAAACACAGATACAAGTCACCAGTATCAAGAAGGAGAGAGGGGCTTTACTACAGAGCCAGCATGCGAAGGACGATCAGGTAGTATCATAAATCACATTACACCAACAAACTCAACCACTAAGACAAAACAGAAAGACTCCTTTAAAGGTATAAATCATCAAACTGACTCAAAAAGAAATAGAAAACCTAAATAGTGCTGTATGTATTGAAGTGCTTAAAAACACTGCCACAAACACACAGGTATAGGCGGCTTCATATCAAATAACCTTTAAAGAAAAAACATACCAGGCACAGAAGCTCAGGCCTGTAATCCCAGCACTCTGGAAGGCTGAGGCAGGAGGATCCCTTGAGCTCAGAAATTTGAGACCAACTTGAGCAAGATCGACATCTCATCTCTACTAAAAACAGAAAAACTAGCTGGGTGTGGTGGCGGGCTCCTATAGTCTCATCTACTAGGGAGGCTGAGGCAGGAGGATTGTTTGAGCCCACAGGTGTAGTGAGCTATGATGATGCCACTGCACTTCAGCCTGGGTGACACGGAATGAAGGAAGGTAAGAAGGAGAAGGGGAAGGAGGAAGGGAGGGAAAGAGGGAGAAATCAATTATAGCAGACTTTAAAACAGAAACAGAAACCCACAAGCTGATCCTGAAGTTCACACTGATATACGAAAGCGAGGAGGAGCAGCAGTTAGGGCAGTGCCTGGGGCAGCAAGCACTGGCCAGGCAGGGTGGACATCACAGCGTAGAGTGGTGACTGGAAGGGACAACTCACGCCACTGCTTTAGTGCCCACACTAAACAATGAGCTGTGGTAACTCCATGAAACATTTGCTCCCTAAGAAAGCTGCAATATCAGCTGTGCTGCCCTGAGAAATGCCCCAGGAGGCCCTTCCAAACAGATGCCAGGAGCTGGTGAGGCCTGAAGCGACACAAGGGAGTCACAGGGCAGGACATGGAAGCCAGGAGAGAGCAGGCAAAGAGGCTGAGGCTGTGGGCTGGAGGGGCAGGGTGCAGCAAGGGTGGCCAGAGGGTAGGTGGCGCCTCAGGCAAAGTTCAGGTTTGACTTCACTGTGAGGGCGGCTGCTGGAGGCTCCTAGCCAGGGACTGATGCTGTCAGACCTTTGATTTTACAGATCATTGGGCCTCTGCACAGAAAACGCACCATCAGGAGCAAGACTAGAGGTAGGGAGGCCAGCAGGTGACAATGCAGGGGCCCAGAGAACAGACAACGGGTGGACGGGTTGATCTGGTTGGCCTGGACGGGTGATCGCAGGGGGCGGGGTAGATGTTGGAGACAGGCTATTATGAGTGTGGGCTGGCCAGCCAGTGACCAGCAAGGGTTGGGTTTGGGTGGCCACCTGAAGGTCCCTCCCTCAACCTGGGTCTGTGAGAATGGAGGCCTCAAGCTCAGGGGGAGATCCTGGGATGCAGCTGGTCAGTCCCCATGGACAGGTGATCCACCCAGGTAAGGGGAGACAGAGCTAGAGGGCCATCTGGGGTATCCAAGGCACCACCATGAAGGGACTCCAGGCTGTGTGACACACAAGACCACCAAGGGCTGGGAGGAGGAGCCAGCCCTGGAGATCAACAAGGAGCAGGCAAAGCAAAGGCGAAGGCTGGCAGAGCACAGCTGCAGGGCCTAGAGCAGGCATCCTCGAACCGCGGCCTGCTGAGGACATTTATCCGGCCCGCCGGGTGTTTTTGCCACTGCTGCCTGTCCTGCTTAGCAGCCAACTCATCCTGGGGCCTGCAGTCCAGCCCTCCAACGGTCTGAGGGACAGTGAACCGGCCCTCTGTTTAAAAAGTTTGAGGTCCTCTGGCCTAGAGGAAACTTCTAGGAGGAGGAGCCAACTTGAGGATACACAGACAAATAAGCTGCATAAACACCTCCTCCCAGAAGACACACAGGTGGCCAGGCACTGCCCAAAGGCACTCTAGGTCACTGGCTACCAAGGGGTGCAAACCAGGTCACCACGAGAGCACTGCACATGGGAGCAGCTGGAGCCAAAAGACAGATAGTAGCAAGTACTGGCAAGGACACAGAGACATCAGTGCCTCCCACACGGCCAGCACGTGAAGTCACTGAGTGACCTGGCAACTCCACACCAAGGAAAACTGTCCACACAAAAGCCGGCCCACAAGTGCCACCACAGCTTTCCTGACAGTCAACAGGGACAACCCATACACCCGGCAACTGACCGGGGCCTCACCACCCAATAGAGACAGGCAGTGTCCAGGTCCCACAGCCGTCCTCCTTCCACCTCCCCTCCTAAAGTGGCCCCCAGCCCCTTGTCTTCTGCAAGCAGGGCTGCCTCCCGCCCTCCCCATGCGGTGCCAGTGCCGGCGCTGGTGCCAGGGGTCCTGGGAGTCAATACCCTGGCCTGCAGTGCACCCTGACTCACCAAACCACAGGCTAGGCCCCTGGCCCACAGAGTGCAGCCATAGTCTCATGGCTGCTACCCTGCCCCTGCTCGGGGCCTAGAGCTGTAAACATTCTAGGCCCTCTAAAGAGCCCATGCTAGGCAGGTCAGCTCTCCCTACCCAGCCGCCAGCCTCCTGCCACACAGACCTGCATGAAACCTGCCCCCCAAATCCGGCTTCCCTGTACCAGGCTCCTCGTGGGCCACGTGCACAGAATGAGGCGACCTGCCCCCCAAGGCTGGCTCCCCCGTACCAGGCTCCTCATGGGCTGTGTCTGCAGAATGAGGCAGAGAGGCCCAAGGGAGTGGCAGCCCCAGAGCCCCTTCTGCATCTGGCCCCAGACCTGCCCAGCATTAGTGATGAGCACAGCATAGACAAGGACACTCTGTCCCTCAGAATTTCCACGAGTCAGGATCTGTCCTTCAAAATTAGCCATCATGTCTCTCCCCCTTCTAGAAACTTCCACTGGTTTCCCACCATTCTGGAAATGAAGCCCATCTATCAAGACCCCCTCCACATTTGAGGCTTTAGGGTATGAGGCAGTTTGAAAATGGCTGAAAAATCCTTTGACACTACTCTCCTCAAGAGGCAAAGCCAATGTCCCCACTCCCAGATGGGCTTGTAACTGCTCCAACCAACACAGGAGGGCAGACGTGAGGCTGTTTGATTCCCAAACTGGGCCACGAAAGTCAGGGCTGCACCTGCCTTGTTGGCAGGAGCCCTGAGCTGACAGGTGACAAGTGGCTCCAAGAGGCTGCTGTGCTGGAAGGCCCAGCTCCACAGAGAGGACAGGTGACAGTGCCAGCAGACCTCAGCACGTGAGCAGTCTCGGGACTGATCTCATGTGTGAAGAAGCCTCCAGGGAGTCCAGCCCCACCTGTGGAGTCCCCTGGCTGTGAGTGGTCCCTGCTGTGCCCCAGACATCATGGCAGTAGCACTGTGCCTGCCAAGCTCCTGACTCACCAATGACATGGGCCTCTCAGCTCACTGCCCTTGAGCCCATGGGTGGGTCCTGAGGCTTGGTGGCACCTTGCTCCCCAACACAGAGCTGGACCCCACGTCCACACTGCCAGGGTCTCCCACGCTCAAGACTTGATGCACAGACCACCCCATGCCCTGCAGCAGGGGGCCTCTTCCCAGCCCTGTCCTCCTGCTGTGGTCTCAGCAAACCCCTCTCCTCTGGGGCCTATTTACCCACAAGTAAAATGAGTTCATCTCTGGGCTCCAGAGGCGACTCTAAAAGGCAGCCATCAGCCTCTACACCACCTCAGGTGACCGGTGTCAGGGTGCTCCCCCAGCAGCCAGCAGCAAATGATGGGAGGCACTGAGGCACCTTCTCCCACCCTGCCCAGGCCTATGTACAGCTGCTCAGTCATGAGAGCCCACTCTGCCCAGCATCTGAGCCAAGGCAGGCTGGGAGCTGGGCCTGGGAGACCCTCAGCAGTCTCTGCCACTTGCACCCCCGCCTCAGGGCTCCCAGCCTACCCACAGTACAGCAGCTGCACCCCTGTCCCCCCACCACCCACAGATCAGAGAGCCCAGGGAGGGCAGGGCCTCTCTGTCATGCCCAGGAGGGAATACGCTATCCTCCCCATGCACTCCTCTCAGATCACAGCGGCCTCAACTTCACAGCAAATCACCTGAGCTGTGCCCACCAGGGCATGTGAGAGTCAGGGGAATGAGGAAGATACCAGGAATGCCAACAGGGTGTCCTCCCACCCGCTGTCCCATAGGATCAGGCTATACGGCATGCAGGCTGGGGAGGGGTGAGCTCTGAGAGGACAGGCATAGACCTGGTGGCCCTACAGATCCCTAAACAGGCACCACCCCCCGCTAATACCTGGCCTCCACGATCAGAGTGCTCAGGGCACAGGTCTGCCAGGCAGGTGGACGAGGCCCCTCCACGGAGACTGCCTCCAGGCACACAGTGGGGACACCAAGCCACACCCCTACACCCACACCCACTGCCTACCTTCCTGGGCTCTGTAGGACATTCTACAGATCAGCCTAGCAGGGCACTAGCTCCTTCTTGCCGCCTGGCCTCCAGCACATCAGCCAGACTTCAAGGTGCTGCCTGTGGCCACCATACCCCTCCACTCAAGTCAGCTAGGTCAACTCAGTGGCAGCTCCAAGCAACCCGTTGCACCCCAGGCCTGGGCCTAAGCAAAGCACAGCCCACAGATCTGCTTACGGGCGGGAGCCCTGAACAGCAGAGCAGGGAGAACTTGCCATGGCAGCATCCACACCAAGCCACCACCTGCAAAGTGACACAGCATGCAGCTAGAGGGCCTGCACTTGCCCCAGCTGCAGCCTAGCCCACTCTGCCCAGGGACCTGGCCTGGCCAGCCCTAAACTGGGCTCCCAGCTCTTCTTGAGCCCTGCAACACCATCACCTCTTCCTTGAAGCCATCCTCTTGGGCCTCAGAGCACACCTGCTTCTGGTCTTCCTGCTACCTGCCCAGTGGGCTTCTCAGCCTCCCACACAGGCTCATCCTACACCAACCATAAGGTAAGCCCTGACCCTGATCCAATGAGGGAGGCTAGGTGGGACAGACCATGACCCTGGACCATCCCACAGACCTGGTTCCAGCCTCTTGTGCCCCTCTCCTCTCAGCAGGGACAGTAGCCAGGCACTGAACTTTCCGTTCAAAGCTCCCTTAGCCTGCATACCTGGGAACCTGCCCAAGGACCACGTGGACACCTGAGTGGGCTCGTCCCCTTCAGGTGGCATTGGGCAGCACAGTGCTAAACAGAGACAGGCAGTGAGACAAGGACAGGCGAAAAACAGGGGTGGGAGAAGAGAAAGGCCAGGGTGGGGGCCAGTCTGTGAGGGCCATCTGGACTAGAAGGTCTGGGAACACGGGTGGGGGGTGGGAGACAGTGGCCAGAGAGAGCTCCAGGGAGCTGCCCACTCATCACTGCAGTATTAGCCCTTTACTGTTTCCATAGCAACAGAGAATCCCACCAGGGCAGAAATACACCAGAAGGGACCACTAAGGCCTGGGCCAGCATGGGAAGCTGTGCCCCATCATTCAGTCCCACAGGGCTCTGACCACTACTGAGAATTCAAGAGTGTCATGGGAGGCAGCAAGTGGGGCCCAGGGGATGCCACAACCCTGTATGTGAACACCCACTCAGAGGAGCTAGGGCCACACGAGCATCAGGGCTGGGGCAGGGAGACCTAGGGGCCTGTCAGCCCAGCACAGGGGCGTCCCTGTCTCCCCCCAAGCTCAGGCCCAGTGCTAGCCAGCTCCATGGTTAGGTGCATGCTCTGTGCCCCTGGACAACCTACCAGCCACCTGGAGCTGAAGCTTCCTCCCCTGTAGACAAGGACAAGTCCTGCACAGGGCCTGCCCACTCGCAGCCCAGAGTCACTGTCCACTCCTCCTCTATGACTCCCTAGGGGAAGCGCTGGTGCCCTGGGTTCAGGCTGGGCCCCATGAGCCCAAAGCACATGGTTCCTATTGCCACTGAGCCCCATCCACGGGGTCATTGACTCAGCCACTACCCTCTACCCTGGGGTCCCGTGATGAGTAGGTGGGGGTTCCACTGGGGGGGGCAAGAGACACAACCATGTCACATCTGCCTCACAAGCAGCTCAGCCTCCTGAGGCTTTCATGAGGCTAAATGTCTTCAGCCTGAGGCATGGTCATCTCTCCTGAGACAGGCCTCGCCACTCCTGCAGGGCTGAACTGCCTTTTCTTTTATAAAGGGATGGCAATAATGAACAGGGTGTTTTTATTTCATGTTTTTATTGCCATGTTTCATGGCAATAATGTTTTTATTCTTTCCTACTATTCTTACTCAGCCAAATAAGGAAGCTGGTGACTGTCAACTGGAGAAAATACAGATCTGGCAGCCTTGTGTCAGTGTCAGAAGTTATTTTTTAAATGTTAACAGTCTATGACATGTATACATCAGATAGAGTCACAGAAGGCTCTGGCAAGCAGGCTAGGCATGAGCCACATAGGGAGCACCCTCCTGTCTGGGACCCACGGCTGGCAAGGCCATTCTCCAGCTAACTAGGCCAAGCATCCCAGGACACACCAAGAGGGCTAGGACCCGGAAATGTCCACCCACCCGACACAGGAACCTAGGCCAGGAAACAGGCAGCGACATGAAGATCTGAGCGCAGCAAAGTCCCAGGAGCTCTGTTCATAACACTGAGAAAGCCGGAAGCACCAGCCCAGAGTCTCAGTCGCACGTATCGTTCGCGTTCAGCAGCATCCTTGGCGCCGCCTAAGAGCATGTTTTCAAAGAGCATCTAATGAGGCCCGTGCTCCACACAGCCCAAGTGCAGCAGGCAGAGCACCGTTCACTGAAACCTGAGTCTGAGATGTGCAGGGACTTGAGAACAGGCTGGTGGAGACACCAACACGTCAGCAGTGGCTCCTCAGGCACGCTGCATGTCCAAATCTCTTATAATGAGCACATATTACTCTCACCTCAGAAAATAACACATTGTATTTTTTAAAGAAAAGTAAAAGCAGAGGTAAGGACAGAATTGCTCATAACAACCACAAAGGATGCTGTGCCCTGGGAGCCCACGGCCTCTCAGCAGCGTGCCCACTGCTCTGAGTGAGACCACTGGACATAGCCTGGTATCCTTGCCGCGGCTGTGGCCCTCACAGCCTCCCCTCTAAAGCTATTGCCCTTTCAGGGCACCAGGAGGCCACTAGCTTGGCCCAGTAGGGCACAGGGGAGGTAGTAGAGGGTAAACTCAAGGACCAGGCATTTTAAAAATCACAGGGCTGGCCAGGGCCCTTGGGGTTGGAGCAGGACACAGGCCAGGTGAAGGCCTGCCAATGACCCTCAGAACACACTGTGCCAATGACACCAACCACCATGTGGCTCAAGGTACCCACTTCCCACAGAGGCCCAGCCAGGCTCTGGCTCCACAGAGGGCACTTTCCTTGTCCTTCAGGGCCAGAACTCATCCCAGGCCAGCCTAATTGGGGATAGGCCCAGAACCCCATGAGGCAGAATCATAATCTGAATGCCCCACTCGAAGGAAGCCTGTGGCTTTGCACATGGCAGGTCTGTGTCAGGTTGTGACCACAGGTGTGTGCACAAGTAAGGCCCTCGGTAAGGCTGAGGTGTGGCAGAAAATCTCTCTGGAAACGATAGGTCATGCAAAACGTGTGCGAGCAGATGTATACACCACCACCTGAGCACACGCCTGCTCACATGGCCTGGGCTTCTGGGGGGCTGGGGGGCACTGTGTGCCCTGAGGAGAGGCAACCGTGGGGCCCACAGCAAGTCAGCGAGTGGCTATGTGGCTAGATCTGGTGTGTGATGATGCACAGGATCCCCTCACACCCATGTGGCAACACACACAGGTGTAGAGACACAGCAGCCCCACACTCACAGGCTATCCCGAAGCTCCTGGGTGTCACTTGGTGTCCCCATGGACTGGAGGCTCCGCTCCAAGGAGGTCACTGCCCAAAAGAAGAGGGACAAGGGTAAGGTGCTGCAGAAGCCTCCCTGCCACGGCAGCTGTACACAGCGCAGCCACAGCAGAGGCAGGCTGGTGCCTGTGCCTGGGCAGACCTCCTAAGTGGCCTGAAGGCCAGGGCCTGGCAGGGACCTCCTTGCCCCCAGCAGAAGGCTACATTAGCCAGAAGACCCCCTCCACCTGCCTGGGTCAGGCCCACAGGCTTCTGCCCTCCCCTTTGCTCTCCTCCCCTTTACTCTCCTCCCCTATCCTCCCACTCCACTGGGCACCAGGGTATGGCTCTTGTCCCCTGACCCCTCGGCCTTAGGGGCCTCTCTCTGCCAGCCCTGCTAGGCTGAAGAAGGCTGGCACGCGCTCCATGGGGACATGCCCAGCTCACACAGCAGGTGTGTCCTAAGCCACGAGGAGTGGGCAGGACAGGAGCTGAGGAGCAGAAGCAGTGGTGGGAGCAGTACCCAGGGGCCCTCCATCCCAAGAACCCTAGGACTGGACCGCAGGATGGCCCAAAGAAGGGGAAGGCCATGCGCCAGCACCACCACCTCCAGTGTCACCTCAGTGGCCCAGAGCACCCAGGGTGGGGCAAGCCTGGCCAGATGCAGACTCACCACTGGAGTTGATGCGGAAGACATTGGCTGATGTCTCCTGGAAGAGCTCCTGGAGGTCCTGAGAGTCGACCTGGGTGGCTGAAGACAGGAAGAGGGGAGAACAGGCTGGCTGCACCGTCTACTCTATGCAGGCCCAGAGGTGGGGCCCTAAGGCCTGCCCTGACTCCAGGGTCGCCCTCGTGGTCAGGTGGCAGGTCAGGATGAGCAGCACCTGCCCTTCTCCACTCACACAGCTGGGAGGGAAGGGGGAGTAGTGAGAGCAGCCATGTGCTGAGCCCCCCACAGGCCATGGCCTGGCAGCACTACTCTGGACACACTGGCAAGAGTAGCAAGAAGGCCCATCACATAGGACCTGTCTGCAAGTGCTCAGACAGCATTAGTTATCAGAGTCAAAACATGACTATCCACAGACGGAGCAGGAGGTGGCCCAGGTGCACAGGGTGCCTCACCCAGCAGCAGAAGGAGCAGAGCACAGCCTCACGCGGCAATCCAATGAGCCTTGGGCCCCTGATGCCAAGGGAAAGAAGCCAGTCCCAAGGCCATACTCGTAGGAGTCCATTTATATAAAAAGTCAAGAGCAAACAGATCCAGAGAGAGCAGGGGCTACCAGGGAGGTCAGTGGGAGGAACGGGAGCGACACGTAAAGACCCATAAGGAAGCGAATTTCATATTATGTGAATTGTGTCTCAGTTTTTAAAAACCACACAGAACACTGTGGGGATAGCACCTCCTGGTGAGGATGCAGTTCAGGGGACAGGCATACACTGCCAGGGCAGGGGTGAAATGGTGCAGGCACTACAGAAAAGGCCTATAGCCTGCAACAAGCCACCACTCCCCAGACTTGCCCAGGTCTCCACAGGCAGCCCACATACTTGGTGATGATGACAGTACTCACGATGATGACACTATGATGCAGCTGCACCGACATCAACCAGAGCCCCATGAGAGACTTGCAGCTGAGCCAACAGAGTGAGCGAGCAAGTGATCCTGAGGAAACTTGGCAGGTCCCTGCCCCCCAGCACTCTCACAGCACAGGGGCAGGGAGGTGACCAGCCTCCTGGTCACATGTGACCCTGCCCTCTGACCCAGGGCCCAGCTGCCTGGGGCGAGAAGGACTAGCCCCACGTGGGAGCACCTCCCTATGGAGCAGCATGCCCCTCCAAACTGACTGGCTGGCTCTGGGGTACTATATATATGGTGTGGAGTGCAGGCAGCTGAGGCCCAGGCGGCTGGCAACTAGCCCCAGGCCACCCACTAGGAAGGGGCAGAGGTGGGAATGGAAGCTGGGACTGGAAGCTGGGACTGTACAAAGAAAAGAGCCAGACCTGCAGGCACACGCTAGCCACATACACCACCTGCAGGCACACACTAGCCACACACACCAAGGCTGGTGGGTTCAAACCCAGAAACAACAATGACAACTACAACAACAACAATAAAATAGCCAGGCATTGTGGCAGGCATTTATAGTCCCAGCTACTTGGGAGTCTGAGGCAAGAGAATCATTTAAGCCCAAGAGTTGGAGGTTGCTGTGAGCTATGACGTCATAGCACTCTACCAAGGCCAACATAGTGAGACCCTGTCTCAATAAAATAAAATAAAATAATACATGAAGCAAAAACTGATAGGATTGAAAGAAAAAAAACACAAATCCACAATTATAACCAAAGTGCTCAACACTCTCTCAGTAGTTAATATAACAAGTAGACAGAAAACTTTGAGTATTTAGAGAATTTAAACAATACTATCAATCAACCTGGCCAGAACGACATATAGAACACTCTACCCCAAAACAGATGAATAAACATTCTTGTCAAATGCAGATGAACACTAAGATATACTATATTTTAGGCCATAAGGCAATTTGACATATTTATAATAGCTGAAATCATATAAAAATATTACCTGAACACAACAGAATTAAACTAGAAATCAATAACAAAAAGATATCTATAAATATACACACGTATCTGGAATTAAACAACAAACTTTTAAATAACCATTGAGGAGCCTGACTGACTCCATTTTGTACCAGCTGACTCCCATCTTGTACAAGGTTTAAAACTTTGCAGCTCTCACCGCCCCTCCCCTTACATATTGTTACAGGTGCCTGCAGGAACAGAAAGATAAGTTTAGAGTTGCAAAACCTTGAAAATTTCCAGTCTTAGACTCTGTGCGCTGGTGTAATTCTCCATCATTCCACTCATGTTTGGATATAACACCATAAGTAAAAAAAGAAACCACAAGAAGAATTAGAAAATATTTTTAAGGGAATGAAATGAAAACACTGTATATTAAAATGTATAGCAATGTACAGAGGAAAATTTGTACCCATAAATATTATATTAGAAAAGAAGAAAGATCTCAAGCCAATGATCTCACGAAAGCAAATTAAACCCAAACTAAGAAGAAGGTGGGAATAAAGATGAGCAGAAATTAATTCAATCAATGTTAGATAAATTAATGAAATCAAAATTTGGTTCTTTGAAACAATAAAATCAATAAATTTATATAAGAAGAATACTGAGATGATAAACTTGTTAGTCAAGAGCAGAAGACAGAATACAAATCAGCAATATCAGGAATGAAAGAGGAGGTATCACTACAGATCCTACAGAAATTAAAAGGACACTATGAGAATAGTATGAGCAAATGCATACCAATAACTGAGATGAAGTAGACGAGTTTCTGGAAAAACACAAAACTAACAAAGCTGACTTAAGGAGAAATAGATAGCATGGATAGTACCACAGCTTTAAAGAAAATGAATTTGTGGTTTAAAACATTCCCACAGTGAAAACATAAGGCTCAGAAGAGATAGCGTCACTGTCAAATTCTATTATATCACATATTTGCAGGAAGAATAATAACAATTCTATACAAACTCTTTCAGAAAACAGAAAAGGAGGAAACATTTCCCAACTTACTTCAAGATGTGTTTTATAGTTACAGTACTCAAGGCAGTGTGGTATTTGCTGAAGCAGACCCATTTAGATCTATAAAAACAGATCAGTGTCCCACGTACACACTTAATACAACTGACTTTAGAAAAAAGCACCAGAGATTCAACAGAGAAAGGACAGTCTTTTCAATCTATGGGGCCATAACTTTTGAGTAACTATTGAACTTCAACAAAAAGTAAATCAAATATTAACTCAACATGGATCAAAGATGGAAGTGTAAAAGCTAAAAGTCAACAAACCTTTTTAAAAATAAAATAGAAAGAAAAAAATTCTTTGCAACTTTCTAGTAGGCAAAGGCTTATGAGAGAGTATACAAAAAGCAAAAATCATAAAAGAAAAAAATTGATCATGCCAAACAGTAAATCTTTTCACCTTCAAATGACATAAAGAAACTAAAAGGACCTATAAGTAATGAATTTTTTATTTCCAAAATAAAAGAAAAATATTACCATTTGAAAGAAAATATTCATAATATAGCTATCTGACTTTGATATCTGACAAAGCCCTTCTATCCAGATAAATGAGTTCATATAATATGACAACCCACTATAAAACAGGCAATAAATGTGAAACTAGCAGATATACAATAGCCAGGCAAGAAGCTCAGATCAAGGTGCTGAACATCAGAGGAATACAAATTAAAACTACAATCTATGGCCAGGTATGGTGGCTCATGCCTATAATCCCAGGACTCTGGGAGGCTGAGGTGGGCGTTAAGCTCAGGAGTTCAAGATCAGCCTAATCAAGAGTGAGAACCTGTCTCTTTAACTAGCCAGCCATTGTGGCAGTACCTGTAGTCCCAGCTACTTGGGAGGCTAAAGCAGGAGGCTCACTTGAGCCCAAGAGTTTGAGGTTGCTGTCAGCTATGATGCCACAGCACCCTACTCTAGGCAACAGAGTGAAACCCTGTCTCAAAAAGAAAAGAAAATCCGAACTACAGTCAATGACACTCTACCACATGCTGCCCGTCTTGGTGCATTTTGTGTTGCTAACCAACTTATAAAGGAAAATAAAGTCTCTTTGTCTCATGATTCTGACGGCTGAAAGCTGAAGACTGGGCATGTGCTAAGAGCCTTAGGCTGCCTCCACTGATGGCGGAGGTTGAGGGCAGCTGGAGTGTACAGAGGTCACTTTGAGTGTACCAAAGTCACCTTGCAAGGGGAGGGGGGTGGGAAGGTGTCAGGCTCTTTTTTAACAGCCAGCTCTGGAGGGAACTAACAGTGAGAACAGTAGCGTCCCCGCCCTCATAGGCTGCTGCCAGTCCGCCCAGCTTGGCACCAACAGCCTATGCGCTCAGTGTGCTATGCCCAACTCACTTTAGTGCCGTCCCCCACTGCAGATGGGATATGGGGAGTGCACAGGTCCATACCACATGGAGCCACCCCAGACCCCCACCAGACCTCCCCCATCACAGAGCCGCAGTACTTCTCCCCAGCCTCCAGACCCTGGCATGGGCAGTGGCCAGAGTCTGCTAGTATGACCTTAGTGAGGCACCTGTGGCCAGCTGCCTCCTGGCCCCAGGAGGCTCCATGCTCACCCTTTCGTCCAGCTGAGAGAAAGCTGGTAGGACAGAGGTGTAGTCCCCCAGGAATCCTCTCAGCTAAGCCTCTACCCATCCACAATGGCAGTAACACTCAGTGGGCCTAAAGAAGAAACAGGAAATCCAGAAGCTCAGCACATGGCCATGTGAGGTTTGTTACCAGCTCCAGGTGGGCTCAGCTGTGCAGAGAAGAAATCAGATATTCCTGAAACACAATGACTTCAACAGCCCCTAGTCAAGTTTACCCAGGTGACACAAAGTTGGGTCTCTGGCCCTGCACAGGGGAAGCAGGGTGCAAGAGTCTTGGGACCCCGAACCCTGCTATGGATGGGACAGAATGCAGGGAGGGGAGGGACACAGGGAACCGCAGAGGCAGGGCAGGCAGCATGGCGTCAAGGGCATCCTCTTCCAGCAGTGGGCAGCTCTAAGTGCCCAGGGGACAAAGTAGGTGGAAGCAGCATGGAGAAGTGCTTGCTCTGTGCGAGAAAGGCCTTGCCAGGTTTCCAGACTGGGGTGCAGCCAGCAGCTCAGAGGCTCTGGGACGGTCAGTAACCACACCTGGCTGGTGTCCCCCACCAGAGAAGGCTGCCCTAAGGGGCCCTTTCACAAGGTGGTAGGGAACCCCCAGGAAATGCAAGGTGGGAAGGGTGATTCTCAAAGGCCTCATGGATAGCCCATGTCTAAACAGCAGCTGAGAGGCCAGCTTTGTGTCAGCAAATGCATAGCAGCCCGGGTGGCACAGGTGGTTCCTGCCAACACAGGAACACGAGCCACAGAAGGCGCCTGCTGCCAGGAAAACCAGGCAGGCAGACACACTACAGGGAGGACCTTATAGAGAGTGCCTGTCACCCCATGACCAAGCCTGCCCTGGACAGGGCACGAGTGGGTGTCCCCAACACACACGACACCCAGCCCCATGCAAAGGCAACTACACTGAGGACCAAAGGAGGGTGAGGCAGCTGCCAGGGTGGGGACTGACAATAGGCCAGGTGGCTAGGGGTGAGCGGCTTCATTCCAGAGCAGGGATGGGTCCAGAGTGACCATGACAGGGCTCAGTCTGTGGCCAGAAACCCAGGAAGGCAGATGGCCATCAGGGAGGAACCAGCCATGAAGGCTGGGGTACGGAGGCAGTGCTCTGGTCTTGGAGGGCACAGGCAAGTAAGCGTTTGTCTGGAGAGAACATGAGAGCCAAATAAGGGAGCGGAGGCATCCAGATGCCTCCTGGGGCAGGCACTGGTGCAGCATGGCCCGTGTCCCTGATGAGTGTGCAGCCTGGATGCACAGACCCATGTTCTACAGACAGCAGGCTGGGGCCCCAGGAGTTACAGGCCAGGCCCGAAGTACATGCTGTGCAGTTCCACTCAGGAAACGCCCAGAATAAAGGCAAAGGCACAGACAGAAAGCAGACCATGGCTGTCAGGGCCTGAGGGATGACCACTGAGGTATGGGGCCTCACAGGGGATGGGGCTGCCCTGAGACCAGGCAGTGATGACAGCTGCACACACTACAAATATACTAAGAATCACTGCCCAGTAGGCTTCAAAAAGGTAAAATGGTAAACTCTAGTACATGAATATTGTCTCGGTGTACAAAAGAAAGTGACACAGTACACGCTACTGGCCTGCAGTGGAAAAGGTAAGCGGGACAGGGGTCACCATGCTGCTCAGACCAGAGTGAGCCACAGCCCTCTCACCACAGCCTTCCTAGGAGTAAAGGGAGGGGCTCAGTCATGGGGGTCTTGGGGCTCTTTTCACTCCTTGGCCCCAAGGCTCCGTGACCAGCTAGCTGGGGTACCACAGCCCACTGACAACACGGCAGACAATGGTACTGGGCACTGTACAACTCTCTAGGCGCAGGGGTGATGCAGAGGGCAGGAGGGCTGTCATCAGGGAGGGGGATGGAGCATGCCGGCTGCTGCTCATTTCTAAGCCTCTTTACATGACTTTGAGTCTGCTCCACAGCCAAGGCCTAGGAATGGATGAGGGAAAGTCCCCTCAGAGCCCGAGACCAGGCCCCAGACGACAAAAGGGGTAAACAGTTCTCACTTAGGCTCCCTCCCAACTCCTCTACTCACTCTTGGCTTAAACTCAGCAGTGAACCCCAAGTGTCCTGTCTGTCCCTGTCACTCTTCCTTTTAGGCACAGGATCCAGCATGGAGAAGGAGTTCAAATCCTTTGAGTGGCTTCACCTCTCCACCCATCCTCTAGGGGCTGGGAGGTCTGTCCAGCAATAATCCAGACCCACATCTCCTGCCAAGTCCAGGGAGGAGGACTTCCATCCATGGAGAATAAGGCCTCATCTTGAGGAGCTTGGGGAGCAGTTGAGGGGGTGGTGATATAGAGGTCCTACAAGGCTGCAAGTGCATCTAGGAGGGCCTAGCCAGGCACACTTGCACCTTGTCCCTGGGCCTAAGCCTACCCTTCACCCTCCACCCCAAGGACAGTGTGTTCCCAGGCCTAGGCAGGACACAGGCTGTAGGCCAGAGGCCTCAGACACAAGGCTGGGACAGCAGACTCTAGGAGAGGATATCGAGCCATCCCACCACCTCCTCCATGATGTCAAGGTCACCCCTGACAATGCCACTATCTACTCAGCCACTTGCTGCCCAGCCAGCTGCCCTCCTGCAGCCCAGGCTGGCACTGAGGGCATCTCACCATGCCACTTCTTACATCTTCCAGCTGCGGCCACTGGCAGAGAACAGAGTGCCTGTCCTCACAGCACACAGCACAGGGCTGGGGCCATCCTCACAGCATATAGCACCGTTCCTTGCCCAGGGCCGACTCTGTACTCCAGCACCAGAGCACCATCAGAAGCAAACAGCGCTCCTAGAAATTCAAAAAGGATCCCCCACAATACATCCCAATTCTGCCCAGAGGAAAGGCTATCCTGGTGGGCGCACTCCCGGAGAGCCAACCAGCCCTGGGTACCATCTTGCACTGGGGGCTGGACAGCTGTTGCTTCTTGCCACCTCATCCAGGGAGTCCAGGACACACCATCCCAGTGCCCTACAGTGCCCTGCTGAGATCTACATGTCCAGCCAGGGCTGAACGCACTTACTGGGAACCTCCCCCAGGCACCATCAGCTCTAGGCATCCCTGTCCTCAAAGCCCATGCAGCTCAAGTGTGGAGCAGAGCTGAGGCTGCATCTTAAGGACAGCCTTGGCCGGTCCCCTGCAGCCCTGCCCTCTAGGGTCCAGCTGCCCCACTCTCCGACTCTCCAGCTGTACCACAGCGTGTCCATGCAGCACCTTCTCCCTAGTACCGGTCAGGCCCCCATCACACTTGCAGCTGCTGGACACTGGGCCGACATTGACCTCTGTCACACACCCTAACCTACTAGGTGCCAATAGACTGATGCTATCCTAGAGAAAAAGGACCCTGGCCTGAGCCGTGGGATGTCCGCAAAGGGCCTGACACAGCCCTGAGCAGACCCCTGCTCTGGGGTCTCACCCGCCCAGTGTGCTTCTAGGGGGCTGAACCAGCCAGCAAGGAAGTCTCGCCCAGTGTCAGAAAGAGTAACAAAGCAGTATTTCAACTGCACTGAGACCCGGTCATGAAACTAATTTAATAAGTCACAGCTGGCTTTTATTTTATTTTGATGACTAGGACAGAACATAAGATCAACAGGTGTGACACGTCAGAGAGTGAGCACTATGAAAATGCCTGCAACCCAGCTGCATGTGTCCATGTGGGGCAGTGCCAGCACATGGACTCACACCACAGCCACGGTGCCTCAACAGAACCAAATGTGAGGAGAGAGCCCAACTCAAGGCCTGGATGGGAGCATGAATCTACCTCTGAAGCTCCCTTCACACTTTAAAAATGTTTGTCAAATGCACAGTTGCAAGGATGGGTGAGTGAGTGAGAGGGGCAGAGGGTGAGTAGACAGGGACACTCCAGGTGATGATGGGGGTGAGGAAGAAGAGGTGGCCATGGAGGATGAGAGGAGGTCCCTGTGGAGAAGGTATGGGGCAAGGTGGGCCCACCCTGCAGCTAGCCAAAGTAGTGCCCTGTAAGGAACTCACCTCTGAGCGGCTCCAGGCTGAAGCCCTCAGGGGATGGGGCCTGGCAGGAGAAGGTCTTGGCCACCACCTGCTCCACAGGCGTGAGCACCAGGGGCTGGGGCTGGCCAGAACCCGGGTCAGGACTCTGGGCCGCCTTCCGAAGGTCACCCAGCTTGCGTCGCACAACAGCCCGCAGGTCCCGCCACTTGTGCTTCAGGTCCACGACATCGCGGCGGCAATAGCCCAGCGCATTCACCGCCTGCAGGATGCGGCTCCACACGCGGTACCTGCGGGTGGGCTCAGCCCTCAGCAGCCCTGTGCCGAACAGCAGCTGGTGGTGCTTGCTCACCTTGGACACCAGCACCTCGGTCTCCTGCGGGCAGAAGTTGGGCTTCCTCTTCTTGGCCCGGTTGGCACTGGGCCCCACCATGCGACCATGGGACCCCACAGCTGAGTCCTTCCTCAGGCCAGTTGGGGATGGTGAGGTGGGCTCTGGTATCCGGCTGCCTTCAGGGGCAATCCTTGGCCCTAGAAAAGCACCAAAAGCAGGGTGTTTAAGGCTCTGGGCCCAGTGGAGTCAACAGACCCCTGGGTGCCTCATCTTTAGTCTTTGCTTCAGGACACAGCTGCCCACTCCCAGCCACTATCCCTCTCCCCTGGGTGTCCAGAGGTACAAGCCTCCCAGCACTGCCACTGCCTTGGAAGGTGCCATCATCGGCAAGTCTGTGGGCCATGGCACCCCATCTTCCACACAGGCCCAACTGCCTTCCATAGCCACCATCAGTGCAAGAGAGCTGAGACAGGCCCTGGCAGCCAGACCTGCCTGCTCCATGTATCTCTGTGTTCAGGCCCAAGGAAAGGGGGCACTCAGGGCCAGGACTGTGGCTACTTCTGGGAACACCCTGGCCTGGGGGCAGCCCTCTCCAGACATGCTCTAGTGCCATCCACACCTGCCTGCCAACCAGGGCCTTGAGAGCACTGAGGATGGCCTCAGCTTCCCCCTTGCTCTCCCACTGAGGATAGCCAACAGCCAGACAGCCTGTCTGCCATCACCCCTCAGCCCTCTTTCCCTCACAGTACACCCCACCTGGAGCTCCTGGGGGCTGACCCAGCACTCGGCTCCCAGGTCTTATGTCTTTGCTCACGTACGAGCTTTGTCAGAAACACACTGGTTTCCTGAGGGCAGGGCCACGACTGCTGTTGGGTATGGCCCTGTGGGGTCAGAGGACTCAAGGCTCCCCGGGACAGACACAGTGGCCCCCAACAACAGAAGGTTCCCCAAGGGCAGGGGATGAGCGCCTGAGACCCAGTGGGAGGAAACACTCCAGAGTGAGCTTTTCTCTCCAGGTCCTGACTCCAAGAAGCATCTAGAAGGTGTCTCACTGGGGGGAAAGAAGCCCACCCAGGCCCACCCTACAGAGGCCACCACACATATTCCTTCCTAAATCACACCACAAGGACCTCAACACCCCCTTTCTAGCCTACTCCACAAGGACACTCAGACTCTGGGTGCTGGGCATGAGCACTCCTTCAGTCCTACTATGCAGGCCTGGTCCTTAAGTCTCTAGCACCCTGCAGCCCTGGCAATCCCATGGCTTCTCTCCTATGGCTGATCCAGACTGCCATGCCATCCATCCTCCTCAGGGGGACAGGGAAGAAGGGGTGGGGGTGAGATAGGCCTCAGGGCCTGCCCTGGCCTCCTCCCCAACATCAGTGGACTCCCCTCCTCAGTACCAGCATCTCTGAGTGGCCTTCCCGGCACCCCCGAGACCCATCATCTGAGCGGAAGTACCTCGCTTCCTGGCCCTTGGGACTCTGGGTGCACCCGCTGGCCCCAGGTCACCTTCCCCGTCCTTTCCCACACAGGGGTCCTGGGAGTTGCTCTCTGGCGACGGGCAGGGGAAATGGCGAATTCCATACTCGGTCCAACATCTAGCGCACTCTACGGACAGCAAGGGACAGTCATGATTACTTCCAGCCTGCCTGGCTCATGCAGCTCAGGGTACTTCTGGTGGTGCCAGGGCCCACACACAGATGGCAGGCACCCGGGCCCAAGCAGCTCCATTTGGGTCCTCCCTCAGGAAGGCCTCCCTGATGGCCATGACCTCCAGAACACCCCCCTTTTCCTAAATACCAATAGGGAGTTCAGAACTCCAGGTGTTCAGGATTTTTCTCTGAAGCATAGTTCTTTACAAAGGTGACCCCAAATGAGGCCATGACCCTCTAAATCGGGGCTCAGAGGCATGGTCACATATGAAATTCAGATGGGTGTTACCCAAGCTTTACTAGCATTCACGGCCATTCGAAATTACTATAACCTCCAACCATGGGGCCACTCTATTGTATTTTATAAAAACATCGTTCCATGATGTGTGGAAAGTGAAAAGCAAAACAACGCTCTTCCTCCCCACACCAAGGAACAGCTGCAGAGCTGCCCCAGGGCACCCTCCACCACTCCAGGGTACAGACCCAAAAAAGGACACATCTTAATTTTCTCTAATAATTTCCATTTATTCAAACACCATTTCTGGACATATTTTACTAAAACTTATCCATCTTCAAATGCACCTTATAAAAATATTTTAACATCTCTGGAACAAAACTGTGTCTTTTAACCCATGGCCTCCCAAGGCCAGTGACGTGTAGTGTGTGCCAGGCTGAGTGCATGGGAAGGAGACCCAGGAGACCACTCCCCCAGGAGCTCTCTGAGGAGACAGAGGCACACTCCACAGCAAGGCATGAGGCAGCTGGCTTAGACGCTCTTGCCTACCATGCTGACAGCCTCTAGTGAGTCCCCAGGAGGGCTGGGTCATGCAGGGTCCCAACTCCACACTGAAGCAGCAGCTCTGGGAAAAGACCCTTCATGGAACCCTTGGAGAAGAAGCCTTGGGAACACAACCATCGGCTGGAGCTTCGCATCCTCAAGGGGGGCCACTGTAGCCCAGCATGATAGGCAGGAAAGGACTACCAAGGGTCTCAGTGGGTCCCAGGTGGGAGAGGTCACAAAGGCCATTTTGTTCCCCCTTCTACCCCCAGGCAGCACTAACCCAAACCACACAAGCAGAGGTGAGTCCCGCTGCTGGCCCCCAAGGGGGCCTCCAGTGACCTAGAACGGGGCCCACTCATCCCCTAACTCTGGTGCTGGGGAGGGAGGGGGGAGGAGGAGTAAACGTGGCGGGCAATGGCCGTCCAGCTTATTTGGGTGGAGCTGCATACAGGACAAGGAACTGCAGCAAGGTAAGAGGGGAGGCCCTGACCAAGGTTCAAGATGAGAGGCTCCCACATCACAGGCTTCTCTGAGTATCTCAGTGACTGCAAGTCTCTCAGCCAGAGCCTGTAACTCCAGCTTCCTCAAGGCCTCCCTCGATGCCCACACCATTCTCTCCTGGCAGAGACACACTCTCCAGGCCCCAAACGGCAGCCGAGCAGTTGCTGGCCCAGACAATAGTATACAAGAAGGGGTCCAGGCACTCAGTGACTAGGTTCCCATCTGCTCAGTGGCAGGTCCCTGACCAGGGCCCCAGAGAGACAGCAGACCTGGCTGGCAGTGGCGTGCAAGAACACCCTGTCTCCTCACAATGCCAGCGTCCTCATCTCAGGTCCAGGTCCTGCCACTGCCACACAAGTCCATGCAGGTACCCTGGAGGGTCACTGCAGTCTGCCTACCTAAACCACAGGAACCCAGAACTCTCGGGGAGGGGGGGGAGAGGGGCAGGCAGGCCTATGGCAATTATTGCCTGTTTTTTATTAGAATAATACCCTTTATAGAAAATCATTTAAACGCAGACAATTAGAGATTAAAAAAGATGAAAATATCCAGAGATAAACATCCCTAGCCCCGGAGCTTGCTTCATACAACTAAAATGTCCCATGCGTGGTTTTACTTCCTGCATTTGCATTTCACATTAATCATAATGCACAGAGGCCACTCGAGGGTCTCCAACAATGTGATGTCAGTACCACATCATGTTTTATTAGGGGCTGCCACTAACCCAGCTGTTTCCCTAAAGCTGGGTATTTACAGTATTTCTGAATTATGGCTCTTGTAAATTATGCAGTGATGAATGCCTCTGCCCATGCCTCTGATTACTAGGACAGAGCCCAAGAAGAGGCATGGCTGGGCCAATAGAGGGACTGTTCCAGGGTGCCCTGAAACTGGTCACTCCCAGATCCCGGGAGGAGACAGCAGCACCCTGCTCTCCCTGTGGTTCCACTTCCACCAGAAGCTGCACTAGTATGCTGGTGCCTCAGTGTTCACCTACCAGGTCACCATGTAGGCCGTCTGCAGACCCCACCTGTTTCTATGGAGGTTCCCTACCATTCACCAGTTTTCTACACATGAACAATCTGCCTGTGTACCCCTGCTGCCTCTGGTTAGGAGGAAGAGAAGGTCCTGAGGTGCTGCCACAATTAGGGTAGCCAGGACTTCAGCACATGCCAGGGACTGGACACTGCAGCTATTTCCATACCCAGGAGCATCTGGCCCAGACCCCACTGTCCCACCCACTCAGCAGCCTTCCTGGGTCACCCAGGGCACAAGAAGCACTGTGCCAGGGTCACACTCAACATCCCAAAGGACACCCCGGTCTCTCCAGGGTCACATCCAACATCCCAGATGCACCCCAGTCTCTCCAGGGTCACACTCAACATCCTAGATGACACCCCAGTCTCACCAGGGTCATACCCAATGTCCCAGAGGATACCCCGGTCTCCACAACTTTAAATAAACTAAGACAGGATGGATCCTTTTCTAACCAAAATCCAGTTAGGTTAGAAATCACATTTTAAAAAACAACTAGAAAAAATATAAATGTTTGGAAATGATGTAACGCACTTCTAAAAATTCCTGGGTCGTGGAAATGAGAACACTCAGAACTGAACAAAAATAAAATTACTATATATTTTATAATTTGTGATATTCAACTAAAGCAGTGACTCTTTGAAAGTTTATAATTTTAAGTGCTTTTATTAGAAAAGAACAAAAATTGAATATGAAACATAATTGAGTATTAAAAATAAAAGGAGGGCGGCACCTGTGGCTCAAAGGAGTAGGGCGCCAGTCCCATATGCTGGAGGTGGTGGGTTCAAACCCAGCCCCAGCCAAAAGCTGCAAAAAAAGAAAAAAGGAAGATAAAAACATAAACAGAAATCAATTAAATTTTAAAACATCTAACAAAAGGGATCAAGAAAGTCAGAATTACATCTTTGTAGAGACTTGTAAAATTGTCAAGTCTCTGTCACTACTAATTATAAAAGAAACTAGAAGGCACACATATATGATACTAGGAATAAAAAACGGGGGTGTGATTCACGAACTGCTAAATTTAATAAAATAGCGGCACATTGACCCCTGGCGTGCCTGAGCACAGGTCTGGCAGGTACCACCAGCTGACCCTCAGTTCTGCTTCCAGATGGGAAGGTCCTGGTGTCCCACTCAGGCTCCTGAGCACTGTCACCACTCTAGGGCACCGCAACAGCCACAGTTGGCCTGGAAAGGCCATAATTTTATATCTACAAGTTGAACATTTTGAAAAGCAGACACATTTCCAGAAAAATGTAACTTAAAACTGACCTATGCAAAAACAGAAACCTTGAACAAGTTTACTACTAGAGAAATTAACAGTAGTTCTAAAACTTTCAACAAAGAGGAAACGTCAGACCTAGTTTCACAGCAAAACCCCAGAAACTTTGTATGGCACACAGCCCCACATCTCCACAGACTCACAGAAAACATCATCTCCATCTCCAGCCACTCTAGGAGGGAGGAAAGACAGATAAAAGATGACAGTGCTGGAAAAGAAGAGAGAAAAACTGCCATTATTCACAAATGACACCAGCAAAACAGACAGCTTAAAAGATTCCTCAGACAAATTATTATAGTTAATAAAACGAGTTCCGTAGAAGGCCAGATATAAAGCCAGCAAACAAAAGTCAAGCACACTACCCTGGAAAATCCCAGTTTCCTCAACAAACTTCCAGGTAAGAATGGATGGAGGGATGTGGGGACCAAGGGCAGCCGGTGGCCTCTCCAGGCTCCTGCTTCCGTGAAAACATGGTAACTCCGTGAAGCCACGGCAAACTGAGGCAGGTACGATGCTGTGCTGCAGTGAGGATCACCCTGGGACACTGCCACACACACAGAAGTCTCTCAGAGGCACACTGGTATGGTTATAGATGACAGGATCTAAAGTCTGGGATTCACTTCAAAGAGACACACAGGAGGTGGTGAGGGCACAAGTGCAGCCAGACTGGCCACAGGCGGTGGCAGAGGAAGCTGAGAGACACACTAGAGCCCCCTACTTCATTTGTCTACTTCCGGTGTTTGAAATTTTCTATATTTATAAAGTTAACAAACACTCAAACATTAAAGAACATCTCTGGACTTTGCTTTTTTAAAACCGCCACTATCTCATACCTGTAATCCCAGCACTCTGGAAGGCTGAGGTGGGGGATCCCTTGAGCCTAGGAGTTGACGGCTGCAGTGAGCTGTGATGACACTACTGCACTCTAGCCTGGCTGATGGAGAGAAACCCTGTTTCAAAAAAAAAAAAAAGAAAAGAAAAGAAAAGAAAAAGAAAAACCCACAACCCTGGGTATGCATCAGCAACAAAACTCCAGGGGTTTGAATGAGGTGATTCTACAATACAGGGTCAATGTCAAAGAGTCAAAAATACTTGAGAGATTTCTATAGAAAATAGGAAATCAATTTGCCCTAAAAAAAAAAGACTGAGAATTACAATAAACTATAGAGGTTAAGGTGGATTTTGACACGGGAACAGAAACACTGACAGAGAACCCACGTGGTCCTATCACACACTATTGTGCAGGGCTACAACGGCCTGTCACGCAGACACAGGGGAGCACATGCGTGCCCCACTTCCACCTTCATGCCACTTCACAACAAAGTCAGTTCCAAGGGGATTACAAACTTAAATATGAAAAACAAATTATGTGATCTTGAGAGGAAAGTACAGGATGATATCATTATCATCTTCTGATAGAAGTTATTAAACTAAACAAACGCAAACAACACAAGAAATGACTGCTATGCTCAATTGTGTCCTAACTGGGCCCTTGTCCCTAGCAGGTTCCACAGTGAAACACTTGCCCAAATGGGCCTGGGTTATCTATAGCATATCTGACAAGGGTTCCATGCCTAGAATACAGAAGGGCATTCTGCAGATCAGTTAGTACCAGACAAGCCCAAGAAAAAAATAAACAAAATGATCAAGCGAAGGGCAGATCCAAATAGCCAATAAGCCACATGGGAAGACGGTCGATCCCACTGCTTTCTAGAGACCATTTCACACAAGCCAGGCCAGCCCAAAGTCACCACCTGACACCACTAGGTGCTAACGCAGACGTGGCTCGAAGGGAGCAGGGGGTGGGAGCAAGCATCAGCATGTGGTCCAGCCCCCAAACCACCTCCCCACCCCACTCCAGTGCCCAGGAATCCCTAGCACAGGCGCTCAGCAACGCTGGGACTCAGGAGTTGGGACACAACCTTCGAGCCCTGCAGATGTGGAACAGACCCAGACACCATGGTGCAGAGCAGAGCCGAATGCAGTGCCGTGGGAGACGTGCAGGGTGGCAGCAACGCCTTTGGGCTCTCAGAGCACACACACAAAAGCAGCAGTGGCAGGTAAGCACAAAGCCCAGGGTCCCTGTAATGTCGTCCAAAACAAGCACAAAGCCCAGGACCCCAGTAATGACGTTCAAAATGTGCACAACTCAGCAACACCCTGCTTTGGGATATGAGCACAGGCAGGTGAAACCACGAAGCAAAAGCAGAAGTGACTCGTGATTCAGGGCCAGGGGCCAGGAGGTGGGACTGAAGAGGGTGGAACAGGTGTCATAGTCATCATTGCTACAGCGCCGCCCCTGACCTCTAGGCGCGCACACCCACGCATGCATGTCTCCTGTCTACTCAGTATCCCCGAGAACACATTTCAAAACAAAAAGTCCATAAAGCAGAACTTAGTCTCTGGTTAAGGCCCCACCGGCTTCAAGGCCCCTCATTATAAAAGGAAGCATGTGCCACAACCCTGGCCATCCCAGCCTGTCCTGTGACCTATCTCCAGCACTCTAGTCTGCCCCTGGCTGCCACCTCCCAAGCTCCCACACCCACCTCCCACACTCACCAGCCACCTGGGCCAGCAGTGCAGCATCAGGATCTTAGAAATACCCCTGACGAAAGGAGGGCCCCTCGGGGCACAGGCCCTGCCTTTTCCCCTACTCTGTGTCCCTACACCTAGAACCTGCCTGGCACACACAGCAGGGGGTTGAAAAGGATTAAAGGTTTGGGCAGAAGAAGAAAGGGAGGCTGATGTGGCAGAGGAGGAAGTCAGCCCAGTGCTCCCAGCAGGAAGGATGGAACTGTCAGTAAGACCCCTGAGCCTCACCACTGAGCCCAGGCCTGGCCAAAAGGCAATATGCAGTGCTGGCACAGTAAGCAGGGGCAGCAGCAGGTCCCCAGTGACCACCTGGGCCCACATCCCTGCATCATCCATATCCCAGCAGGGACACAGACACCAGCAGCCCTCCTGAACACCTGCTGCCCAGCTTTGCAAGGAAGGGGCAGGGCTGAGACATGGGAGCCAAGCCCAGGATGGTAGAGCTGGGCCACCAAGGAGCCAAGCACAACTGGCAAGAAAGGAGTTGGGCCCCAGGGAGAAGGGCCACGGCTCCACAGAGCTGAGACAGGCTGGGCAGAGTTCCTGGCCCAAGGCAGCTGCTGGGGTGAGCCCAGAACAGGGAGGCTGAGCCCAGGTCAGGGAAGCTAAGCCAAGAGCTTGAGGCCCCCAAATCCAATCCTCTCCCTACTCATGGAGGCTGGACTGACCTGGTCTGGGAACCAGATAAGATAACCTGGGGCCAAAGCACCTCCTAAGGGGCCTGCACCTGGAGGGTACCTTCCAGCCAGATGTGCAGCGAGCTGAGCATGGTACAGAGGGCAGGGGCCAGGCCAAGGTTTGGGCCTCCCTGGGTCCCAATGCAGAGTGACCAAAGGGGTTCAGCCCACAGTAGGAGGTGGAAGAGGGGATGCAAAGCTCAGGAGAGCAGAAAGGGCACAGGCTTGACCCTCAGAAGTTCCCAAAAGAAGGTCCCAGCTCTGCCCTGCTTCCTCTACATGATAGTAGGGAGCTGTCTGTCATCCCATGGGCCGTGGTGCCCTCCTCTGTATACTGCAGTGCAATGCCAGCTGCTCCACACTGCCACTGGGAAGACCGATGACACATTCTCTCAACACCCGGAGTACCACCACCAGCAGCCTGGCACTCTGCATGCCCGCTGCATCCTCGGAGCTCCTATACTCTGTCTCCTGAGACCCAAATCACCCCTGGCTTTGAGTTCAACAGTTACTTATGGTCTTGAATCACAAGCAAGGTTTTTCAGAATAAAATCCATCCACTCAGCCCCCAGGGGGACTTGGTGAAGACCCTGCCCACTGCCATCCACTCCACCACCCTACCACCAGCTGTCATTACCTAGGGGCTGATAGCCTTGTCTCGAGGGTCCCCTGAAAGCACCACCTTCACCAGGGATGGATCCATAAGACATCTTCTTCCAGAGGGCGGGGCCGGCAGCCTCCTTGCTGAGCTGGAGGAACCACAGAAGGGGGAGGAGGGGGAGGCAGAGAGACTAGGTTACTGCTCAGATGAGGGTGCACAGCGGCCTCATGCCCACCCTGACCCACGAGCCTGGCTCTGCCATGCCAGTTCCCAAAGCTACCAGGCTTCTCACCAACCCCAGGACAGTGACTCCCAACAAGCCTTTCCGCGGCCTCTTGTTCCGCTGGCCCCAGTGTGGGAACACAGGCACATCCCTGAAGAAGCAGCACCCCGTGCTCTCCCATGTAATCCCCGGCTGGGCAAGCCCTCCGGCATATCCCACCTGGAGTCCAGGCTGCCCTGCTCTCCAAGCCTCCATGTGCCCATCCTCGCCTGGCTTCTGGGAGTGTGGAGCCCAGCTGCTTTCCCAGCGTGCAGGTACACATCACTGCACAGGGCTGAGAACCATGGGGCTCCTGCCATGGCCAGATGTCCCCCCCAAAGGTCATCTTCCCAAGCCATGCCTGATGGGGTGGTAGAGCTGGGGTCAGGATGCCTGGAGGGAAATCCACCCCAGCCACTTGTTACCTGTGCAGCTGGGCACACACCTTTAGACCTCTCTGGGCCTCAGATTCCTCACCCATCAAGTGAGGGGAACAAAAGGACCTACCTCTAGGGCTGTGGTGAGAAACACACACAGAAACATCCCCAGAATAACAAACCTAAGTGCTCAGTGCACACTTCACTTTATGGGCTTGGTCCTCAGCATGACACCAGCTGTCCCTGGTATCCCACTACCTGCTCCTCCCATGAAGTGAGCTCAAGGGACAAGAGGGAACCGTCCAGCCTGGATGCTCCCCACCCCTGCCGCCTCACTCCTGTGCTCAAGTGCCTGTGGGGATGTCTGTCTAACCTGCCCATGCCCTGGCAGCATCCCTGCAGAGCCCTCTGTCCCTCCAGGCTCTAAACACTTCACAGAAGCCACTCTGCTCACCCTCAGACACATCTGCAGCCAGAAGGAGGTGAAGAACAAAGTGAGCCTCGCTGGGGGCAAGAAGCAGCCCAAGTCCCCAGGGTCCTGTGGCTGAGGCGGCATGGGCCTGTGTCCCCTCTAACCAAAAGGCCCACAGCCCATGCTACTTGGCCCCATCCACAGTAGGTGGCACCAGGACACCTACCTAGTTGAGTGGGCCGCAAGCACTTAGGTCTTGGGGTCCATTACATTGACAGCCATCGAGGACCCCATGTGCCTGACAGGGGCTCTGCCTGCCAGTGCGTGCTCTCTCCATTGTTAATGTCAGCAGAGAATTTAAAAATATATTTAAGAATTCACTTTGAAATAATCACACATTACCACTAACATAAATAACATATTTTGATAAAAGTAACTATATTTTCCAAAACAAAGTCCCTCAGAGAGCAGCAGTCCTGCCCCACACTGTCAATCTCTGGGCAGGCTCAGCAGAGGTGACGGACCCTCACCTGCTTCCAGAACAAGCTGCTGCCTCACATTGTTCTCGCTGGGGCATATGAAGATTCTGGCCCCACACAGGGATGCAGCTGGCAGAGGGAGGACCCTGGGGCAGCAGATCACACTCTCCATAGGCTTCTCAGGCCTCCCGTCCCAGCACCTGCTGGGAACTCCAGGCCTCCCTCCACGGGCTCCATGCCATGGAGGGGCAGGGACTGGGATGGCTGCTCGAAGAGGAGAGTGGGCCTGAAGGACAGGAGGGATTTGGGGAACCCCAAGGGTTGGGGTCATGTGTGGTGGCTCTCAGTCCCATGAGAGAAGGGCTCTCAATACTCCAAGGACCCACCAGGGCAAATCTCTGACATGGAAGATAGCGCAGGACACCAGAGAAAACACAAACCACCCAGACAAGAAAACTAAGAAGGCACAGGGCCATGGCTCCGTTTATAAAACGCCCAGCACTCACACTCATTAACGCTTCCCTCTTCACAGGCTCATCCTCACAACACTGGGAACCTGAAGCCACCACTATCTTCTGCAAATGGGAAACCAGGGCACAGAGAAGTCGGCAGCAGGTCCCTGGCAGGGAAAGGCCTAGTGCCCATGCCACACCGTCCTGTGCTCCCTCTGGGAGAGGGGCCTGCATGACATGGCCCACTGCTATCCCCAGAGAGGACACAAGACACGAGCCCCTATAACATGGCCCACTGACATCCCAAGAGAGGACAGAGAGACAGGAGCAGGATACTGAGAAAAGGAACTTTAAGGGAACACAGGACAATGCCGGGAAGGGAAAACTAGAGGGTAAAATGCCACAGAGGGGACAGGGCAGAGTAGAAATGCCCCAGAAAGGGAAATAAACACCACCAAGAAATAAAAAAAAAAAAAAAGTCTGCCCAGAAGTTTCCACATCCGAATAACTGGAATTCCAGAAAGAGACAGAAAAGTCAAGGGAAGGGAATCGTCACAAAGAGAATGCAAGGATTGGAGTGGGTGGCTAGGGCCTGTGAGGCTCCAGGACGCCTGGATGAGGAGTCTCCCAGGCACAACCTAGTTCCACACCCATGACCAGAACCTGCAGTGACCTGGGAGGTCCCACAGCCCCAGTACTGGGAGGAGTACCAGTGTGAGGGTCACCGGGGACACTCCCGACACCCGGGGCCTCCAAACGTACCTCCACACACCCACCCTCAGGAAGTGCTGAGGGCACAATCCATCCACACCAGGGCCTGAGTGAGGGAGCAGGAAGGGGAAAGAGACCCAGGGAAGCTGCTCCTGGGAAGGAGGGCGACTCAGCAGAAGGTGCTAGAGACGCATCTCAGGAAGACAAAACAACAGACCGTTGGTAAGATGGAGAACCGGGGAAGGGGTTCAGATCAAGCTCCGGAGAATGACGCAGAGTGCCGGGCACACGGGCAGTGACAGGCTCCAGGGAAAGCGGAAGCTGGGCAGGAGAGAAGCCACCCAATTTGCTGCTGCAGGGTCTGCAGGCGTGGTTGTCATCAGGGGAGCCTGGGTCTAGCTGAGGGGGTGACAGTCGATGTGGCTAGGGCAAGATGGGGGCAGAAGTGCACGCACACGCCTGTGTGTACACGAATGTGCCTGTGAGTGAGCAAGCACTGGAGTTCTCATCTTGCAGGACAGTAAATGATGCCGAAACATCAGAAAAAACCAAGCAGCAACCCCAGAAAGTCATCTGCAGAGGAGACAACATGAGAAGACTCCACCACCAGAATGAGAAGTAGCGACTCGGGAGGGCAGAGGAGGGGCGGCTGAAAATCACAGTTTCCCTTAATTAACCTTGTACAACTCATTTGCTCTCCTAACTATACACATGTATAATTTTAAAGTATTAAAGCCTAATTTGTAAAATGCCAATAAAACACCAATGAGAAAGTTCCATCTGGAAACAAAGAGGAAGGGCTGTGGCGGGGCCGCCTTCAGTAGGTACAGGTTAGCTGGGAAGCCAGTGCCCCTCAGTTCCCAGGAGGCAGCCATCGGCAAGCGCTCAGCCTTGTCCCAGGTGGCCATGCACACCTGCCAGACACACCCAGCTCCACAGACTTGCCATCACTACACCGACAAGGTGGGCCTGCCTGGGTCGCAGGGCTCTGCCCCAACTGGAAAGCAGCCAAGGGGAGCTAAGCACTAGGTACTATTCCCACCCACCACCAAAATGACAGAGATGGGTGGCAGTAGTCACCCTGGGCTGCCATGAGGAGTAGAGAGTAGGCTGTGGGAGCTGAGGAGCCTGCCCAGGGCAGGGGAGGGACCACACAGCCAAAGACAGGCTGGTAAAACCCAGACAGGTACCTATGGACAAGAGGATTCAAGAAAGAATCCCAAGTTCTGGCCCCAAAGGCAGGTGGATGGTACAGGGAGAAGGGGCCAAGTGCAAGGACGTGCCCACTGCACCACCACAGGCAGGTAGATACCAGAAGCCCTGAAGATTGGGCAAAGGCAGAGTGGGAGACCACTGTGTAAGGACAGTCATAAAAGGGATCACCCAGGGAGCAAAGGCACAGTGAGGGCCCAGCTGAGTCAACACAGGGCCAGGTCAGGGAGTTAACTGGACAGCCCAAGAACGCCTTGGCAGAGGCAGTCACTGTCCACTGCTCTGCACAGGGCAGAGAGGCACATGAGGGCAGGAGATACTGCACAAGCAAGCAGGGAGGAACCCAAGTGTGAGAAATTCAGCAATCCCATGGCCACAAGAAGATGCGGGCAGGAGGCTCCCCAGGAAGGCAAAAGGAATGAATATTCATGGCTATGCTACAGGGCACAGAGGAATGACCCCCAGCCTGGCCACCTACCCTGACTCAAGAGCTTGCCTTGCTGCACAGTGGAACATCTAACACCTCTGTGTTTGCTCAGCAGACTGAGAGATAAAGGCTGGCTCACTGGCAGGACCACAGAGCGTCCCACCACCAGAGGGGGCAGTCTGGGACAGCAAGTGGCACTGCATGTCCTCTGCCTGACAGGAGCCTCCAAAGCAGCCCACTGTGGCCCCTGGGGTAACCTGGAACCCAGTAGGTACATCCCGACTGCTAGAACACAGGGAGGGTCACAGGGTACTGGGCTGCACCAACCCAGACCCCTCAGGCATGCCATAACCCTACTTTCAGAATCTGACTTAACCTCTGCCCAAACCCCCTAACCCTCCCCAGTCCTCAAGTTGCTCCGGCCCTGTGCCCTCACTGTGCTCATGGGCCCACACTGAGGGCTGCCTGGACCCTGTCCTGCCTTCTGGGGATTCTGCCTACCAGCTCCCAGGCTGTGCTTGCTGCTTCCTCCACTCGGCTCCAGATCATCAACCCTGCAGCCAGTCCATGTCCCAACTTCTCAACCAAGCTGTCCCAGCAGGACCTTCCTGCCCACCTCAGACATTATGGCTTATCCCAACTCCAGAACCTCAGGCGTCACCATGACCTGTACAAAGAGGGACACCTCTTCCCTAGAGGAAGCTGGGTGTCCTTGGGGCTGTTCTCGCCCAGGGCTGATCCTAGCCCTCATAAGCCAACCACTCATCCTGACAGCCATATCCTAACAAGCCAAGATCAGGCACCCATCTCCTGCCC